GATATATCGATATATATATATATATATACATATATATATCTATCATATATCTATATATATACAACTATTACATATATATATATATAATATAACATATACATTATATATACTATATATATATATATACATATATATATATTATATATATCGATACATATATATATATATATATACATTATATATATATATATATATATAATCTATATAATTATCTATATCTATACATGCTCATATAATATCATATATCTATATATATCTCGATTATATATCATATATATATGTATACATCTCTATATATATATATATATATATATATCATAGTCTATCATATCTATTTCTATCTATTTATCTCTATATTTTTTTGTTAATTTATCTATTTATCTATATATCTCTACTATCTCTCTATTATCTCTCTATCTATCTAGTAATCTATACCTATTTCTTTCTATATCTCTCTCTCTCTATATCTCTCTATCTACTCTCTATCGCTCTTGTCTGTCTCTGTCTCTGTCTCTGATCTACTTCTCTGTCTAGGTCTCATGTATCTGTATCTATGTCTCTCTGTCATCTCTGTCCCTCTCTCTATCTCTCCTCTCTCCCTCTCTCCTATCCTCCCTATATCTCTCTCCCTCTCTCCATCTCTCCATCGCTCTCTCTCCTCTCTCTCTCTATATATATATATATATATCTATATATATATATATTTAGATTTATGTGCATATATCTGTATATATATACATAGACATATACATATACATATACCTATACATATATATAGTATATATATATATATATCTATATATATATATTATATCTATATATATAAAATCTGTATCTTATATATATATAGATATACTATCTATATAATATAGTATATAGATATCATAAATATCTATAATATATATAATATATCTAGTCTATCTATATATATATATAGATATATATTTATCTATACATAAACTTATCTCTAGACATATATATATGATATATATATATATAATTATATTACATTATATATCTATCTATATATAGATAGATGAATATCTATATATATACTATACCTATATCTATATATATATCTATATAGTATATATATCATCTATACTATATATATCTCTATATCTATTATATTAATATATATATATATACTCCATCTACCTATACATCTCATTCCATCATTTCTATTCTTTATTTCTTTCTTTACTTTATTTATTTTATATATATATATCTCTCTCTCTATCTCATCTCTATATCTATAAATCTCATTATATATCTTTATGGCATATATATGTATCATCTATCTCTATATATTATCAAATACTCTATCATAATATCATATATATATATCGTATTTCTGTGCGTATATATGTATTATATCTATATCATCTCTCTC